GATCTTTTATTATTATTCATGAGAGAGAGAGAGAGGCAGAGACACAGGCAGAGGAAGAAGCAGGCTCCATGCAGGGAGCCTGATGTGGGACTTGATCCTGGGTCTCCAGGATCACGCCCTAGGCTGAAGGCGGCGCTAAACCGCTGAGCCACCCGGGCTGCCCAATATATATATTTTAAAGATTTTATTTATTTATTCATGAGAGACACGGAGAGAGGCAGAGAGAGAAGCAGGCTCCAGTGGGAAGCCTGATGCAGGACTCCATCCCAGGACCCCAGGATCATGCCCTGAGTTAAAGGCAGACACTCAACCACTGAGCCACCCAGGCGTCCCTTTTTAATATATACACTACTCTGATTAGTATATATTAGTACCAGGCATTCATGGAAAGCAGTTTGGGAATACAGATCAAGGGAATACATGAAAAAGTGTAGTCAGGGTCAGGGTCAGAGACCAAGGAGCCCGAGACACACACATGGGAGCAGTGGGATTGTGGTGAGCAGTGGCTGTTGGACGAGAAGGCCCAGGGGCAGAGGCCTTTGAGTTTCTGCTTCCTATTCCTCTGGTCAGGAGGCTGCATTTCCCTGTCCCTTGCCTGTACTCCCTGGGCCAAACCGATGGCCTGCTTTTTGGTCTGAGTCCACCCAAGTTAAAAGAACAGAAGCAACCGTGCTTTTTTAATGAAACAGATATTAAAGATACTGCTTATGGAAAAACAAGAAGCAGATGGCATTGACTTCTGGCTTTCACCCACAGAAATAGAACAGGAAAAATGAGAAGTTTTGATGCCTGAGATTGGGGTTACACTGAGGTTTCCAGCATCCAGACAGGCAAATGCCTGGACAGCTGCTTAGGGCAGATGGGTCCTTTGACAGCTTAATATCGCAGAGTTTCTGGTGACTGTAGTCGGGGCAGCCAACATGAGACCATCTGTTTGGTAGTGGGCAGGAAACCTCCCTACCAGCAGGTAGCCCCTGCTGAGGGTGAGACACAAACCAAAAACCAACGCAGCCATCTTCATAATCTCTGCAAAGCCGACGGGGCTGACAAACCGCTGGCACAACTGCCAAGAGGAGGAGACCTCATCTCAGGCCTATGTGCCCTCTACAACAGGACCACATGGAACAACAATATTCTGAAAGGCTTTTTGTTTGGTCATTATTTTTATCTTTTTTTTTTTTTAACGTTTTATTTATTTGAGAGAGTGAGTGCACGAGTTGGGATAGGGGCAGAGGCAGAGGGAGAAGCAGGCTCCCAGCTGAGTAGGGAGCCCGATGCGGGGCTGGATCCCAGGACACTGGGATCACGACCTGAGCCAAAGGCAGATGCTTAACAGAGTGAGCCACCAGGAGCCCCTATTTAAAAAAAATTTTTTTTACTTAAAAATTTTTTTATGTCAGTATACTTGACACACAATGTTATATTTAGTTTCATATGTATCCAAGAGGTTTTATTTGGGTTTATTTCAAAGTACTCAAATGCTATGAAATAGATCATTCAGTCAGAAAGCTCTTTTGTTCTTTTCTGCTTTTCTAAACAGGAAAAGAAAATAATCATGAATTCAGAGTCACCTATAATAGGCCTAAAAACCAGCTGCCACTTATTATTAAAATGAATAAAGTTTTTAAAGAAGTAACATATTTATTGCAAAAGGTTTATAGTGAAAAAGAAATCTCCTTCCTACCTTTCTGCCTTTATCCCCTCCAGAGATAAACAGTGTTACCCATTTCCTATAATCAGAAATGATCTGTAATATATACTCATATATGAATGTATGTATATATACCTATAGACACATACACAAATTTCTTTCTTTTTCTTTCTTTTCTTTTCTTTTCTTTTCTTTCCTTTCTTCCTTTCCTTTCCTTTCCTTTCCTTTCTTTCTTTTCTTTCTTTTCTTTTCTTTTCTTTTCTTTTTTCTTTCTTTTTTTTAAGACTTTACTTTTAAGTACGCTCTGTGCCCAACGTGGGGCTCAAACTCACAACTCTAAGATCAAGAGTCACATGCTCTACCTACTGAACTAGCCTATTTAACTTCATTAGTATGTCCTACTTATATTTGACTTTGGTCTCCTCCCCTCCCTTCTGGTGTAATTTCTGATCTGTGGAATAGAGCCAGTACTCATTGGTATGGCTGTACCAGGTGTTTCTGGATGGTGCCTGTTCTGATTGGTCTGTGCTTGAGCTGTCCGTTTTTTTTTTTAAATGTAAGATCATCCCCAAATTTTTTTTCTTCATTTGCCTTTCCTTATTTCCCTTGCTTCTTTTCATATTGCTTCTGCACAATTCTCTTGCTCTTTTTTTCCCCGGTATTATTTGCTTTGAGTGGGATATCTATTTGCTGAAGCACAGTTCTTGAAGAGGTGAGGGCACTAGGTAGGGCTGTCCTATATAAGTTTCAGTTCAGGGTGTGACCTCACATCACACCATCCTCTCTCCAAACTGCAGTGTCCTGCATGAGGCCGCCCCTTCCCTCAGCTGGGTATGTCTTTTTTTCTTTACCCTCCTCCATATACTGGGGTCAGTTGACTTAGAAGTTTCATCAAGCCTCAGACATTCTTGGACCAATGTGGGGGCATTTAGAATTAAAAAAAAAATCTCCACATGAAAGTGGGATCGGATTATAATTTTCTTTTCTTGTGCTATCTTTATTTGTTTTGGATATAGCACATTGTTGGCCTAACAAAATATGATGCCCTTTTCTCAAAATTTTTTACTTCCTCCTCATCTCTGAAACTTGGTTAGAATTTTGCTCATGGATTTTTAAGTCCTAAATCCTCTCTCCTTATAAATTTTTAAAGACAACCCAGATCTAGTCTATCAATGGTGTCTTTTGTTATTTTGAGCCCTTTGCTTCTGACTTTTTTTTTTTTTAAGATTTTATTTATTTATTCATGAGAGACACACAGAGAGAGGCAGAGACACAGGCAAAGGGAGAAGCAGGCTCCCCGCAGGGAGCCTGATGCGGGACTCTATCCCAGGACCTGGATCACACCCTAAGCCAAAAGCAGACACTCAACCACTGAGCCGCGCAGATACCCCTTTCCCTTCTGACTTCTAGCCAGAGAACCTCTCAGAATGTACTTTAGGGAAAATTATCTGGGAGGAAGATTAAGAATAAGTTATAAAAAAATCTAGCATTTTGACAGCCTTCTCTTCCTTCCATTTATAATTTTTAAAGACATTTAAAATTCTTCCATCTATTAAAGACAGAAGGGACTGCAATTAGAACTGTTATCTCAAAATGCACATGCTAAGGAGAGAAAGCAATAGATAGTTCTAGAACCAGGTTCGCATTTTCTACCACTTACAGAAGCATTTTAACAGGAGTTGGAATTTGCTAAACAAGGACCCAGGTTTAGAAAAAACAGTTTAATTTCCCAGGCATCCCAATTAAAATCCCTTGAATTGTCCTTACTTTGCCATAACTAAATATTAGGAGGAAAATAAGCCCGCTAATTTGAGTGACAGACATTACTGTAAAGATGCCTTCACCAGGTCTTTCTCTTCCATTCTAAATTTCTCAGGTATTTCTTTTACCTCTTTGGCAGTTGGAAGGGAATTTTTCAAAGGCCTATCTATTTATCATTACTTCTGGGTAATTCCTGAGTTGGATTCTTATTTTCTTCCACCAGATGACCATCACAAATTTTTTTATTTATACCATTGGAAAAGCATTTAACTACATAAAGATCTACTTTGATCTAGAATACAAAATTTAAGAACATAAAATAAATGGTCTGTGCAGTGCACTTCTAAAGTTATATTGCACACATTGATCAGCAAAAATGAACACAGTTGAATCAGACAGAGGATATCTGATTCTAAATATGTCTTTGTTAGAAAAAGAAGAGCTGGGACGCCTGGGTGGCTCAGTGGTTGAGCGTCTGCCTTTGGCTCAGGGCGTGATCCCGCAGTTTCGGGATCAAGTCTCACATCGGGCTTCCTGCATGGAGCCTGCTTTCCCTCTGTCTGTGTCTCTGCCTCTCTCTCTCTGTGTCTCTAATGAATAAATAAATAAAATCTTAAAAAAAATATTAGAAAAAGAAGAGCTATGCCTAAACTAAAGAAAAAAAACAATACTAATAAATACTAATAAAGAAAACTTGATTACTTCTGGCAACTTAGGAAGTGTCACGTAGGAAGAAAAGGAACTAGACAATGGGCTCATTTCTTAGTCACTGAGTTTTGAAAAGTGGTCTTTCCTTGGCATCAGGGTGGTGGGGAGGCAGAGATAGTCTGTTACAATGGGAAGAATATTTGACTTTGGAATCAGTAACAACCTACCCCAAATACTCCATGATGTCCTACAGGAAGAAAAACCCTATCTCTAAAACAATTCCAATAGGTAACCAGACAAAATTACTCTTCTGCTTAAAACAGCCATTCACAGGTCTACGCTACCCTCAGGATCACCACTATGTATATTGCTCATGTAATTGTTCACATACACACACGTGCGCCCACAAATACACACACACACACACACACTAACACCCCAGATATCCTCTAGGTTTACTGTGAATATGCCACGTGCCACACAAACTCCATGCTTCTGTAAAGACTGTTGCCTCTCTCAGAAATTCCTTTAGTCTTCATGAACCAGTATGTCATTTTAAACCTGTCTTCTAATTTATATTTACATTAGACACACTCACTGATTATATTTGGGATAAAGGAGAAGCTGTGACAATAGGAATATAAAGTCATTTTTCTGTCTTTTGGATTTAACTACATTTGGATTGGCAATGAAGAAGTCACCATTGGGGAAATCTCTCATTGCTGGTTTAGCTGGAGGCTGGAAAAGTAGAGGATCATTCCTAATCTTGAAACTAAACCTGGAGACTAATTTTGTTTTCTGTGAAAAGGATGATTTAAGTTGTTCTTATAAAGGAAAATAACCCAACACACTGACATTGGCACAAAACATGTTCAGCAGAATTCGGATTTAAGATTTCATATGTTCAAAACTTGCCTCAGTTAAAAAAGTCAAGCTTTACCTCTTGAAATGATTCACCAGGACACCAACAAGTTCTCCAATTCGACTCTCATGAGTTGGCTGTTTGCTGAAGAGGCAGACAATGAGGTCTTTGTTGTCTTTTGTATGGAACACAACAAGTTGGTCCTTTCCATTGGAGACACTCAGACCAGTCAACTGCAAAGGAACAAAACATGGAAAACTATTAGGATGGTTCTCAAAAGAATAAATTTAAAAATATATTTTGTAATTCAATAATTATTTTTGACCAGTGACCCTAGGCCTTCAATTTTTACCAAGTCTTAACGCAAGTCTCATGCAATTTTTAGCAAGTCTTATTCCTTTCCTTATCTAAACATTAGGAAAATTGAAAACAGGAAAAAAATAGAGAAAAATCAACAAAACAACAAGCTGGTTCTTTCAAAGGACCAATAAGGTTGCCAAGCCTCTAGTCTGAGAATAAAAGTGAGATGACCTAATTACCAATATGGAATGGAAGAGGGGATAGCACTACAAACCACACAGACATTAAAAGGATAACAAGGAAATATTTTCAACAATTCTGTGTACCTAATGGAAGAACTTGAATGAAACCAAATAATTCCTTGAAAGCCACAAACTACCAAAACTCACTCAAGAAAAAATTGATAACCCGAGTACTACTTTATCTATTAAAGAAATTAAATTTGTGGTTAAAAACTTTTTGAAAAAGGGGGTGCCTAGGTGGCTCAGTCATTTAAGCATCTAACTTTGGCTCAGGTCATGATCTTGGTGTCCTGGGATTGAGCCCCATGTCTGAGCTCCCTGCTCAGTGGGGAGTCTGCTTCTTCCTCTTCCTCTGCCCTTCCCCTGGCTCATGCTCTCTCCCTCTTTCTCAAATAAATACATAAAATCTTAAAAAAAAAAAAAACCTTTCAAAAAAGAAAACTCCAGGTTCACATGATTTCACTGGTAAATTCTACTAAATGTTTAAAGAAGAAATAACACCAAATCTCTAAAAGGGAATGCTTTGTAACTCATCTTACAAGGCCAGCATTATCCTGATAGCAAAAAAAGATAAAGGCAGTACAAGAAGATTGTAAATCAATATCCAATAGCCTTCATCAACATGGATATAAGAATGGCCAACAAAATATTAACAAATCTAATCCAACAGTATGTAAGAATAATAATATGCCATGACCAGGTGAGTTTATCTAAGAAATGCAAAGCTAGTTTAGTATTCAGTAATCAATGTAATCCACTGTTGCAACAGAATAAATAAGCCATGTGATCATATCACTTGATGTGGAAAAAGTGATGAGGGACAGAAGCAGAAAAACATTTACCTTTAGCCCAGAAGGCTGACCTATAGCCTGCATAGTTTTGATAAGGATCAAGTAACGTGCTGGTTGTTACATTCTTTTTTTTTTTTTTAAGATTTTATTTATTTATTCTTGAGAGAGAGAGAGAGAGAGAGAGACACGCGGAGACACAGGCAGAGGGAGGAGCAGGCTCCATGCAGGAAGCCCGATGTGGGACTTGATCCCGGGACTGTGGGATCACGCCCTGGCCCGAAGGCAGGCGCTAAACCGCTGAGCCACCGGGGCTGCCCTGGTTGGTACATTCTTAAGGGGTTTCATGATTGCCTATACATTTCACTGACAGTTAATATAAAGCTGAATCATAAGCACTGGAGAAATCTTGTGAAAGTAGTTTCATGAGCAGAAATTCAAAGAAATTTATATGTATTATATATAATATAATATAATATAATATAATATAATATAATATAATATATATATATATATATATATATATATGATTTTATTTTTAAGTAATCTCTACATCCAATGTGGGGCTTGAACTCACAACCCTGAGAACAAGAGTCACGTGCTCTACTGACTAAACCAGCCAGATGTCTGTTGAAGAAACTTTTATGATCTAATACTCCCTGCATGTCCCCTAAGCATATAACTACACCAGCTTCATACAGCAAAAGTGCAGCTTACTCTTCCCAAGAGTTCTGTCCTTGTGTTATTTAAATAAGCTTACTATGGGGCACCTGAGTGGTTCAGTCGGTTGGGAGTCTGACCCTTGATTTTTGGCTCAGGTCATGATCTTAGGGTTGTGAGATCAAGCCCCAAGTTGGGCTCTGTGCTCAGTGGAGAGTCTGCTTGGGATTCTCTCTTTCCCTCTCCCACTGCCCCTCTACCCTATTGTATGCTCACACACTCCCTCCCTCTCAAGTAAATGGATAAATTTTTTTAAAAAGCGGGGAAGAAAAGCTTACTAAGGTTGCACTGTAAAATGTCTTAAGAATTCTTTTTTGGCTGTTGTACTTATGACCTGCCACATTTCTGGTAGTCTCACACCTGGATTGTGGAGTTAATCTAAGAGCTTTGGTGTCGGTTGCTAAATCCTTTTTATTCTCTCAGTCTCTGTTTCTTACTTGTTCTTTTCCAGAGATGTCCTGAGTAGTACAACCCTTCTGAATGTGTTTTGTCCAAGTGCTCAGGAGAAAATCTCTTTCCTGTGGCTACCCTATGGGGAAGACAAACTCCTGCTGCCTGGCTGGATACCGGTATCTTGGCTGTAATGGCATTGGGCTCAGAAATCAGGCTCTCCTGTTTTCCCTATTCTTTTAATACTTGTATTCTTCTCAGGCACAGGGCAAATATACATGTCATTAGGATGGCCACCGATCTCAAGACTTCCATGTAAGGTTTCCTCCTAAATAACCCAACGTGATCCCTCAATGAACATCAAATCTAAGATTCATCTTACCATGTGCTTCCCAAAATGGACCAGTGGGAGCGACTACCCAGTTGAGGCACCCACCCAATTGGGGACCGCTGCCTTGGGGCTAGATCATGGATAATGCTCACGAGAAAGGTGCTCAGATTAGACAGGAGTGCCATACTTTCAGTTTTTCACATCTTTCATTTGTCCTTCCCCATTGGCTAGTTGGTGTTTTCAGTCCTGTTCTCAGATTGAAAGTACTTCTAGCTTAGATATATGATGCTTAATATGATATAAAATAGTTGCCCCTTCTTAACAAAGGTCATGGCCTCTACCCTATCCATTAATATTAGATCTAGAGACTTACAAAGGGTATTATTATTATTGGTTGCCAAATATATCAACTCCCCCTAAATGAAAAGAGGCAGCTCCAATGTCTGGCAATTCAGTCTAGTCACCAGCTCCTACTGTAGCATAGAATGCAGTAGAGAAATGAAGGGAGGTCAACATCCCTTCTCAGGTATTACAAAGGTATCAGAGCAGTCCAGAATAGGGATACATCCTGCCATTCAACCCTAGGAACCTTCGGCAATATTCCTGATAGGATGCCATTTGGAGGCTGAGAAGGATTTTGGTAATGTGCTCCTAGTTAGTTAATGTACTCTTCTTGTTTTGTAGGAATTAACTATGAGATCAGCTTCGTGGATCCCAAAGGATTCTTCTTTGGGCTGTCTCCTAACATACTGGAGTCAATTTGGACAACAGGATTTAAAGAAGAAGTGCCTCCTCCTCTTCTGTAATAATGCTTACCCTCAATATTCTCTGAAGGATGATAAAAAATAGCTCATTAATGGGTCTTTAAGGTTCAATACTATTTATCCATTGGACCTTTTTTGTAGGTGGCAGGGAAAATGGACTGAAATTCCATAGGGTCAGGCCTGATTTGTTCATACTCCTTTAGGGAACTCCAGGACACCCCTCTCCTCACCACTACTTCTTAATCCACCATCAGCTTACTGCCTCAGGCCCCTCTGTTAATCTACCACCTTCCCTGTGTTCCGTCATGTTCTTTATGTGATCCCCTCCCTTGTCTCTCTTGTAAACAGGTTGCTGCCAAGATCCTGTATATGTCTCCCTCTTTTTTCTGAGTTACTTGTCTCTTTTTTGTTTGCTTCTTCTTTTGTGTGTCAGATCTGGAATCTATCTTGAGAGTACTGGATGAATGTTGTCTGACTCTTATTGTATGGGGGATTTTCTCCATCATTCATTTCCTGGTTATGATAATGGGAGCCAATTGTCTGGTAAGTCTGTCTTGGGATGGGGACCTTAAGGAACATTCCCAAGCAGCTACCGAAACTCTTTTTGCTTCAGGGAGGTTCTTGTCTTCTTTGGCCCAAAAGGGACTGCCTATTTCCACTTTCTGTTGGTCAAAAGAAAATATGTGTCTCTTCATCTGTCCAAGATGACAAGCTTTAGGACCAGGAATCCTTTCTCTCTGTTCTCTGGGCTTTTGTCTAATTTTAGCCTTGCTGGTGGCACCTTGCCTCTTCTGTCTCTACTTCCCCCTTTTCCTGTTTCTGTACCACCTTGGGCATGGATTGCATAACCAGCCCCTGTACCATCCTCTGTGCTTCTGGGGCCACTGGCTTCTGCTTCTCCTTCCTTTGCTATCAAGGAGTGAAGAGTATCCCTTCCTGGACTTAAACCACCCACTTCAGATTTCTCCACCGGTGCTCTAGATAAAAACTGACAGTGGGGAACAAATTGATTAATTGATTGACTGATTGACTTAGTAGACCCAGGTGTAATGTATTTGGTATTTAAACTAATTTAAATTTGTTAGTTTAATTAAGGTAGAACACGTCTTTAGAATTATCAGTATTAAATATAAAAGTTTTATTCTACCAAGGTTTACTAAAGGTCAAATAAGCTCTTGTTATCTCTATTGCAATTTGTCAGCAAAAAGATGACTTAAATGATGGTTGGTTTTGCCTCAAAGTTTTCATGGGTAATTGTTAAGATCAAGAGGATGAATAAATAAAAGGCTTGTAAGTAAAACTTCTAGTAGCTTTCAAAATTTTTGGTAACCTGCAACTTTCAAGTTTTGCTAAGTTAAATGATAAATTGGGCTGAATTCATTGGATATCTAAGTCTTTTTCAAAAAAATACTAAAGCATTGTTTACTAAACATAGGTTTGTGCTTTTGGCTTCTTACCACAGAAAAACTGAGGATACTAAGGTCTATTGGTAAACACGTTTTTAGAAATTATGAAATATATTCACGAATCTCAGATCTAAAGAATTCTGGCGTAAGAGATTGCTCACAATTTTTAAGAAAATTACTTAATTTTCTTTGGAAACTAAGGTTTCTAAGAGTTAATGTTCTGCTAAATGTAATTGAGGCTGAAGAAATAAGGGAAGCAACTCTGTAGGAAAGTAGCAGATATATGAGGAAG